ACTACATATACAATACAGAAACTTGATTGGATATGAAATCACTTTTTTTATGTTTTGCTATAGTGTCTATCTCTGACAAAGAAAAAAAGCATAAAGAAAAATGTCATTCATGAATCATGTATTTTCTTCTTCATCAGCCACATATCTGTGTTGTTTACTTCAAATAAAAGTAATGCGAACTCCCTGGAGGTACAGAAGATTAATGCATTTTGCCACTAATAGAAAGGTTGGGGGATTTAATTCATCCAGTGATGAGTGTGAAAAAAGGTCTGGTGATCTATTTCTGAAAAATCAGCCATTGAAAGCCCTCTGGTGCAAATGAGGACACAAGTTGGAATCAACTTGACAGCAACTGAAGACAAAAGTAATATATCTTACCTGACATCCTTTTTTAAAATTCTCTGGTTTTATCCAGTCTTCAAGCATTCGTAAAATGGAAGCTCCCTATGAATGAAAAACAGTGAAGAATTTAACTAATAAAGTTACTTATTCACCATCACTGTTATGGCTAACATTTGATTTTCGTACTTGTTATTTCTCCAGTATGGTTCTGTTAAATTACATGATTGTGGGTCTATGATCTGATCTTAGGAAAAAATACCAGTTGGTCCACTTTATATCTCTACTAAATACCCTATCCTCTATGTATAGTATAGAAGTAGCTATACTTCTCAAGTAACTAACAGGTAGAGAGAAATAGAAGAGCCCCAGGGGCACAGTGGAAAGCACTTGGTTGTTAACAGAAAGCTCAATGGGTTGAACCCTCCAGCCACTCTATGAGAGAAAGCGGTAGCAGTCTACTTCCATAAAGACTCCCATTGCCACCACGTAGATTCCAACTCATGGGAGCCTACAAGATGGAGTAGAATTATCTCACAGGATTAGCAAGTCTGTAAATATTTATGAAAACAGTCTGCAACATATTTCTCTAACAGAGCAACTGCTGAGTTCTAACTGTGTTTGAACTTCTGACGTTTTGGTTAACAGTCAAGTACTTAACCACTGCACTTCCTGGGCTTCTTTTGTAAAGATTTCAGCCTTGTAAAACCATATAAAGTAGTTCTACTCTCTTACAAAGGAGCTCTGGTAGCGTAGTGGTTATGAATCAGGCTGTGAACCTTAGGTCAGCAGTAGGAAACTACCAGCTGTTCCGTGGGAGAAAGAGGAGGCTTTCTGCTCCCGTACAGATTTACAGCCTCAGAAACACTGTACAGGGTCTCTATGAGTCGGAATCCACTTGATGATAATGAGTATAAAGAGAAATGGCTATGGTTTTAGTAATGAGAGTTTCAAATAATTATTATTGTACTTCACTAAATGAACCAGCAGATGGGGCTTTCTTAATGAAAAAGAAACTTAGAAAAAGTCAAGGAAAAAACAAGTCTGTGATAAATAAGGTAAAGTAACATTCTGTGATAAACAAGGTAAAGTAGTTCTATGGTAAATTTCTGGCTACTCACTATATATATTTCCACACTGGGAAAAAACCAACCAAACACAAAAGTATATTTAGCAGAGGGAAGTAAGCAGCTGAGGAATAATTTGGTCAAATGATTAACTATAACTACACATACTACAGACACAAAATCCATCTCTTCAAAAGTAATAACTTTCATTTGATTTTTTCTTTTCTTTGAAGAATTTGATGAGTACTTCAGTTCTCTACCTTCTTTTCAGTGTTATAAGGTTAATACTAAAATGCTAAAATGCAAAACTTTTAATCAATCTTCAAATAAATGACCAGAAAAAATATTGTCTCTAGTTAAGATAGTTACTATAATTTTAACA